AGGCGGGGGGGGCCTAGAATCCCCTAAATTACCCTACTTATATATATATAATTTTTTTTTTTAATAAAAAAACTAGTTATTTTTTTTTCATTTGATAGTATATATCATAACCTTTGATTTGATATATGTTTAAAAGACGCAGTATTTCCGGAACATTTTCAGAAGTTCAGTTGAAAAAGATCAATGTTTTTTACAATATTTCAAGTTTTGAACGCCCCCTATATAAGGGGAATTTGTCCAATTTTAATAAAAAGTATGTCAAATGAAAGATATACTTATAATCTATATAGAAAATAAAAATTTGCGCTGATAATTACATTTTTCGAAAAGTTATAGCACTTTTAAGTTGAAAATTTAATATCGAAAATTTTAACACAAAAATAGCGTTTTTTAACTACGGCAGCCGTTTTTATGCAGAAGATAAAGTGTCGGGACAAATTTTTATTTTTCATTTTATAGCACATAAAATAAGCTTTAATTTGATATATGTTTAAAGGACGCAGTATTTCCGGAACATTTTCAAAAATTAAGTTGAAAAAGTTATTTTTTGTAAAAAAGTTACTATTTTAAATCTCCCCCAATGAGCAGGTGAAGTGTTAGATATTCAAAAAAATGATATCAAATGAAAGGGACATATCTAAGGTTTTAGTATAAAAAAAAATTATGTTGATTTTTGAAAAATTTATGGAAGTTTTAAGAAAAAAAAGAGAAAAAAATGACAAAATTTACCGATTTTTAAATTTTTGAAAGAAATCGGTCCAGTAAGAGCTGAGAAAAAGTGGCAACAGACATAAAAAAAAAAAAAAAAAAATCATAGTAAAATTAATACCTTATCCGCTTCGCATTGAAGCTAATATCGTTATTTATAATGGTGTGAAAACATTCAGTCTTAAAGTGAAATGTTTACATATATATGTCATTAGGATTTAAAACAGATGTCTTTGTAAAAATTATGGCCGTCTGCCGCCTCTAATGCGTTGACGGATGTAGAGTGCAATCCGTGCATTACGTATATATGGCTGAGCATAATTTAGACGTGTGACAAGTTGTGTTAGTTTGCGTCGTGTTTCATCTCCCCCCACCACTATCATAAGACTTGGTGGAGGAGCATAGGTTCTTCTTAGGTTAGTTTACGTTGGGTTTCGTTGTTCCCCCTCCCATTGTATTATGTTAGTTTTCGTTGGATTTACTTCCCCCCCTCATCACATACACTCAGAAGACGGGGTGGGTGGGTGAAGCGGTGACAGCCTTCCCCTTAACAGAACACGCATATTTCTCCCACTCTTTCCACATAGGCCACGCCTCTTAATTCCCCTATCGGGCTGAATGCCCATTTTCACCCTACTCTTAGGAACAAAGTTTGTCCTTTCAATCCAACCTCTGTCTCATGGTTCTTGGACTCTTTTGCAGCCCTGGAATATAAGTGACCATCCGTTTGTACTTGATCGGTTTGTAGGCTTCCAATTAGAGTTCTGCACCGTCTCAAGGTTTTATCAGGTTGACATGATAAGTGAACCACTTAATAGAACTCTCTTGCCGCCCAGCTTAGAGCCAAAGTTCCGAGGACGGAGGCGATAGTGATTGGACCGCTCAAGCAAGTGCAACGGTATGCCGCGGTCATAAAGACCGCAATGGTTGCCGTTGACCTCAATGCCCTTGGGGTCCAATTGGCAGGCACCAGCGGACCTGTACGAGAGCCGTCTTGCTGGAGATCCGGGTATCAGGCGCCCAGGCTGACATCCTAAAGGGTGCCCTGTAGGATCATGACGTGCGCGTACACCGTCTGGTGATGAAAGTGCCCGTCATGCTCCTTTTTTTTTTTTTTTCTTTCACGACTGTCATTATTGTGAGCCGCCCTGGAACTGCCGTAAGGCATTACTTCAGGGCGGCCCACGCCGTCTTAATAATTCACATCACCACGTTGTGAATCAGCCTGAAATTAATCAAGAGCTGACATGGTGTGGCCCCCTCCCGTAAACCAGATCCCAGAGTAGGAACCGTTAGGGAGGACTGCCAAAATAACTCACAAGACATAAAAACATAACACAAAAAAGGAAACTGGCCTAAACCAGCGCCTCAGGTCCTCCTGTGCCGGGCGGCGTGGCTGCCTCTTATCTCAAGCGTTCCGCTTCCTTCTTCTTTAATAAGACGGACTTGGCGAACGCCTGGACGAGTCCCGACGCTCCCGACTCCTCAACATCAGACCACTATGGACAGTTGGGTCTCACTCACGGTGAGATGACTTATCGTCTCACCCAAGTGATGTCCGGCCACTGTTGCTTTAACGAGTACTTACACCACATTCGTAAAGCAGCCGCGCAAACGTGCGACCACTGCCGGGATCGCCCGGGAGAGGCAGACAACGCTCTGCACACCCTCTTCCGGTGCGAGGCGTGAGCCCAGGAACGGGACTCTCTGGAGACCCGTCTGGTGTCCACGCTCCGTGTCATGTCCTTGGTGAACCTGATGTTGTGAAGCAGGGAGGCGTGGAGGCTCGTCCAGGCTTTCGCCAAATCCATCAGAAAAAGAAGGAGGTAGCTGAACGCCTGAGACAGAAGCAACCGCGCCGCCCGGTACAGGCGTTGGTTTAGTTCGGCGCCTTAGGTATTCGTATTTTTTTGTTTTTGTGAGTTATTGTTGCCCTACTCTTAAAGTTGATGAATTTCGAGCTGATTCAAAACGTGGTGGTTTGAGTTTTAGAGTTGGCGTTCGCCACCCTGAAGTAATACCTCACGGTAGTTCCAGGGCGGTTTACAGTTATGCCGTTCGAAGTTTAAAAAAAAAAATAGGTTCTAGACCCTTGTCCTCAGGTTTTTTAGCTTCAGTTCCCTTTAACTTTTTCAGGTCATCGGTTCCCTTGTCTCCCTCCTTTGGTAGGTTCTTCTGTCCCTCCATGATTGCTTGACTCCTCTTCAGCTTGCGCCCCTGACTGCCGCTCAGTTTCTCAGATCTAAGTTTTAGACTCACGATTTTGTTACTGCCAACATTTGATCTTGCGATTCTTGTTCTGCATTTGATGACGTTGCTATCTCTTTGCTAGTAGATGGTTCACCAAGTATCCCGTTGTTCACATTGAGATCTTTAAGTTCGGCGATACTTTTGCAAAGAGTCGCCAGTTCACGATCTTGTTCCGACAGGATGTCCGTAGGATCCCTGATCATCCCAAGTTCGTTGTTGTGTGGTGTTTTTATGTTTTTGTCCATTTAGTTCCCACGAGAAGTCGAGAAATAAAGGTCCGTCACAGCAGAGCTCGATACTGTGATAAGGCTGTATACTCTATGGTGCGCAAGGTGCCATGAGGATCTCAATGGTCACTTTACCTTTCTTTAGAAGAAATATGTATTTTAAATAATAATGTACAATGAAATGGTATTAATGAGACATTTGTGCCTGTCGTTTTGTGCATAAATGTTTTATTCGAGGGCGAATGGTAGACAAGCTGACTCTTAGCTCTTCTTCAACAGATTGAAGTCGTTCTCTTTTTTTACTTTTTATTGTTGTGACTACTGAGAATCCTTGTTCGCATAAGTACGATGTGAAGAATGGTAGTAAAATTTTTATTGCTTTTATTGATATTTCAGGAAATTCTGCTTGAGCATAAATCCAAAATTTGTTGAGGGCCGTTTCTTTAAATTTCAACATTAATGTTCTATCATTTTTCAGTGAAACAAGATTGTCTTCTTCAGCGAATGTCAGACCAATGACCTCGTCAACTGCCACACTAAATGGGTTTCGCACCCAGTCATAGGTTTCAATATTTATGCTAGGAAAGTATTTTTTCATTTGGTCTTTTAGTAATATGATAGATTCGCTTATTAACGATATGAGAGTGGCGTCTACATCTCGCTCTGCAGTTCGTGGGAACATAGTCAATTATTTTTATCAACTTGAGTTTTCCACATAATTAATTTTTCATGAAAAGCCATCATTTTGTCAGATGATGTTAGGATATTTTCGTTACGACCTTGCATACTTGTATTTAATTTATTCAAAAGTTCAAAAATATCAGTTAAAAAAGAAACTTTTGTCCACCACTTTTCATCTCCAAGAAAATCGTATTTCGATTCTTCTATTGTTAAAAATACAATTATTTCTTCTCTCAAATCATAAAAACGTGATAATACCCGGCCTCTTGATAACCATCTTATTGCACTGTGAAAAAGTAACTTTGATTTATCTGAATCCATACCTTCACAAATTTTTTCAAATAACCTCGACTTAAGTGAACTACTTTTAATAAAATTTATCACATTCACAACTTGATCCAAAACTTCTCTTAAATCACCTACCAACGTTTTTTTTCCTTGGCAAAAGAAATAAAGCCTTTGACTGAGCCAGTCATCGCGGGAGCTCCGTCGGTACATACTCCAATACATTTATCCCATGGTAAATTGGCAAATTTTAGATAATGGTCCACGATTCCGAAAATGTCTTCACCTTTGGTTGTCTCTGGAAGTGTTTTACAACACAAAAAGCTTTCCACGATGTCTTCGTTGGCAACTATGCGTATAAAAACCAAAAGTTGTGCTTGTCCACTTATGTCAGTTGACTCGTCTAGTTGTAATGAAAAAAATGGAGAGTCACGAGATTGTTGCAATACTTGTTCTTCAATATCTTCAGACATGTGCTCTATACGCCTACTGATGGTGTTGTCAGATATAGGAATTTTCAATACTTCTTTTTCAGCTTTTTCACCAAAAAGTGCTTTTAAAATTTCACAGCAAGCAGGTAAAATAAGATTTTCTGCTATAGTGTGAGATTTCATTTGTTTAGCTACAAGCTCTGCTACTAGATAACTAGCTTCTTGAGTCTTATCAGAAATGGTCACCATTTTTGTCATTTTTTTAGATTGTCGTGTTTCTGATTCTAGTAAACGTTGAAAATATGAAGCATCTTTATCAGCCAAATGAGAATGCTTGGCTGAAAAATGTCGTTTAAGTTTACTTGGAACCATTGATTCGTTGGATAATTTTTCGCCACATACAAAACACCATGGACGAGGATCATCTACATTTCCGGACCAAGAAAATCCTATGTTTAAATAATCTTGATGATATTGACATCTGATATTTAATTTAGCTTTTTTTTTTGGTGTTTCACTCACTGAAATGCTGTCAGTTGAACGAATTATAAATACATCCATTACAAAAAATACTATTTAAGTAAAATTATCAGTGCGATCGAGACGGCTGCGATGGTCAAACTAACATTAAATACTATTATAGTATTATGCGTATCTACGATTAATGATAAGCGATTAGCCTATGTTTATGTTTGTTAGTTATCCCTTTTCACCGAATATTGATAATAATACAGGTATCCTAAAAATTATAAAACTATAAATAGATTTATAGCGGCACACCGGTTGAAAACCACTAATCTAAAATATCGTCAAACCAAAATTTTTAATTTTATGACATGTACCTATACAACAGAATAGATATCTTATCTAATCTCTACCTATACCATTGCTTTATGCTGTTCGATGAACTACCATTTTGATAATGTAATGTATTTTTATTATCTATGATTACAAAACACCGTTAAATACAATGTTAAAGTCTATAGCACGGTAAAGAGATATAAGTAGTTTTCTATAAAAAAAAGTTCCAATGTAATCCATTGGACAATAGTATTCGTAAAAAGATTCATTTATTAATTTGAACATATTGCTGTTTACATAATTTTAGCGTTATTGTTATTTTTAAAAGGCATTTGTAGTTGTGAGTATTATTTTAGATTTCTGTTTAAAATATTTTGATTTAATATTATACTTTTTATTGGTTTTGTTTCTTGACTTGCTGTTTTTAATAAGTTCATAATTAATGAGTAGTAAAGTTTTTGAAAATTTTTTGACTTATTCTTTAAATAATTATTTAAAGAATAAGTCAAAAAACTTTCAAAAATTATAATTATTAATCAATTAATAGCTTAATTAAATAGTGGGTTTAACATGTGAGCAATTAAAGCCATATTGCCATTATTTGATAGTTGCTTTAAAATTAGAGTTTACAATTAATAAGTTTTAATATGCAGTTCAATTGTTAAGCTGTATAAACACCTTGTGTTAAAAGCTATTTTAAAACTATTTAACAACTCTAAAATTATTAAAATGTGGGAAGATATATGATGAAGTAAGAAGTTATATTGATTATTATAAATTAAATTTTCTTTTTCTAAATATCCTTATATTAGTAATGATGAAATAAACAAACCATAAATAATTTTATGTGCTTCAAGTTCCTTAAAGATTTTTTTTTTAAATCCAATTAAAGAGTATCTACTCAAAAATTCATTGCTGAACAACCGCCTTATTATTTTTCTTACGGTTTCAGAAACTTTATTGTTAGACATTAATGAAAGATGAGCTACCTAAAAGTAAAATTGAAGACATTCAAACAACATAATATATTGTTTGATGAGTATAATAATATTATTATACTCATCAGTCAAATATATTAATTATCATAGCTGCTCTGTATGACTGGTTAGTTTTTAATTTTTCTTCAAATAAACGTGATGATTCTTCATCAATTATTGGGGATAGGTTATAACAATTATTGATATCAGAGACTATTGGTGTATTAGATTTTTCATAGAGTTCTTTATACATTTTATCCACAGTTTTCTTTAATGTAATTTGACCACTTTTTAAATAACTTATTTTATGTTGGTAAGTAACTCTATTATTTTTTGATATGATGAATCTTAAAAACAATTTAATTAGTTAAATAATGAAAAATAGTTAAATTGTGTGCATATTTGAAATATGATTAAAAAAAATTAACACTAACCATTGTTTTTAAAATTTTGGTTGTTTTCCAATGATATAGAGTCGTTTATTTGGATTATGTCTATGAAAAAAAAAAAAAAAGAAAACAAGATTTTATTGTCATTTAATTAAGACATTTTTATAAACAAAATTATTCTAAAACCTTTCTCGAGCTTAATATTTATTTCATCATTATATTTATGTGGTGTTGATGGAACTGTTTCACAAAACATATTTTAAAAACTTAAGTTTGGACTATTATTTTTATTTTCAGCATTGTTTGAGCTTTTCGATACACTGCTGCTTGGAGAACTAGGTACATAAGAAATTGGATTATATGTTTTATTTGTAAATGAATCGTCAGCAGATGATTCATTACTGATTGTTGATTCATTATCTAGAATAATATATATTTGTATTAGATAAATATGTAAAAGAATGTTATGTATTTACTTCCTATCAGAAAGTATTGGAGGAGTTATTATTTTTATTGTACTTTTTTTTGGAAGGTTTTTAAGAGTATGTTTGTTTTGTGATGTACTTGAAATAGTTTTTGATTCTGTATCTAATTAAATTATATTTAGTTAAAGAATTATTAGAATACTATTTTTAAAAAGTGTATTATTATAATTAAAAAATAAATTATATACCATCAGAAAGTGTTGGAAGAGGTATCAGCTTATGTTAGATTTATAACGTTTCTTAGGAGGTTCTTTGAATAGTGAAGATTTTTTTTTATTTGAAGAATAATATACTTTAGCTCTTTTATTTTTTTTGATTTCTTGGGGAGCAGTTTCTTCCATAGAAGATAACTGTGATGTGTCACATGCTACATTGACTTTTATTAAAGCTGCCGACAACTTTTATTATAATTAATCAATATTAATTATATTTTTTTGTATATACAAATTAAATTTATAAAAATTTATTTTTTAATAATTTTTATCAAATATGTCAATAAATTTCTAGTTAATTTATTATTAGCTAACTAAAATAACTTAATAATGTATTTTTGTTTTTAATTTAATATTGTCTGCATTGAATACTTAAAATTAGTCATTTGAATGTATAATTGGAATAGCTATTTGACAATCTATATTCTGATCTTATTAACGTTATTTTACTTTTGATATTGCTTATAAAATAGTACTGTAAATCACACGAGTGTGAAGCTACCAATTCGTGGTCCACCAACTGCTTATCACTAACAAATATTGGTTACCCTTCGGTTACCAATATTTAATAGAGTATAACGCTTTTTCTAACCGATAGATGTAGACACATAATAACAAAAAGCATATATTACACACATTTACCAATCATACACACAACAAAGATCTGTGGGCCGGTGGGAGTATATATACAATTACTATCGTATACACCGCCGTACCAACACGAATAATTGTGAACGACCACTGCATTTAACAACTTAGCATTTGATATTATATTATAGAGTTTTTTAAAAGCTTTCAGAAAATGTATAAAAAATATCTGGACTCGTTTCGGAACATTGTCAAAATCGCAAATTACTGTGGCCGAGTTAATGCGTTAATACGCAACCAAAAGTAATTTTCGCGGTCTTGATTTGCAATATTCAGTTATACCTGCACGTTTCACCCGTTAGCTTTTCACACCACTTATAGAATTTTTTATAAGCTTTCAGAAAATGTATAAAAAATATCTGGACTCGTCTCGGAACATTCACCAATTCGAAAATTACTGAGGCCGAGTTGGTGCGTTTATTTGAAATTACAATATTTTTTTATTGCAAATTTTTATTGTTTATCAATATAGTGTTGGCAGTTCTGTATTGTTTTGTGTCAACTAGAGAGCAGTGTATTATCGTATGACTTAAAATAGCTTTTATATAGAGCAATATTATATTATAGCTTTTCACACCACTTATAGAGTTTTTTATAAGCTTTCAGAAAATGTATAGAAAATATCTGGACTAGTAAATATAACTATGTATCCCCCTCGATTTTAATTTGGATTATGCTGTTAATAATAGTACCTCAGCAAGGTCGGATTTATCCAAAAAGTGTCCCTAGGCTAATAAGGAACAGACGACCACTTCTTAGGACACAGATAGAAT